ACCTACATTTTTGATACTCCTGCGCCTACTTTTTTGATACACCTAAACATACCCTAAAATTAACCAATAGGATTGCATGTTATTATAGTAAAAGTTAGTAAAAAAGTAATAAATTTTAGGGTATGTTTAGGTGTATCAAAAAAGTAGGTGCAGGACACAGCAAGTGACCAAGACTAACCTTAACGACATAGCATGGCCGGTACTATATTTAAGGTTAGTGTTAGAATGTAGCAGAATTAGGAATTATGTCACGTGTTTTGCTGTGCCGGTAGCAATTCCCTAATTTTTCTGGCGATCCTGTAGTTACGTACGTACGTACGTACCTAGGTGGCGCTACTCACATGACAGTAAATTTGATGGCCGATTCGTAGTTTGTCCCGTTAAAAGAATTTTGCCACATGATTCTTATTTATGGTTGACAATTGGTTAATTAAGTAGCATAGATTATCTTTCTAGCGGAATTTTTCATTGGAAAATTATGGAAGTTCAGTGGGGCTCCAGCTTCAAGTCAAAAACACTGGCTAACGTCTCGTCAAAGGCCTGGCTCCATTTCGTAGCTGGAGGGTAGAGTATTCGTATGATGCCTTTATCGACCTTCAGCCTATCACTATCCGAGTTCTAAATTAAAAGTGCATTGGTCCAATTCTAGTATTGGAGGGATGGTCGGAGCAACAGTTACTTCACCATTAGATGTTATGAAAACTCGACTACAGGTACTTACGCAATGAATATCTCAAGTACTTTCCGAATCGATCGCTAACAGTTAGGTAAATTGTTACCTTTTATGCAGTCGTCTTTATATAATCCCCAATCAAAGTCTTCACAACCTTTTATTCGATCTACAACCCCGATCCTTGGACATTTTATTGACACAGGAAGATTATTGACGTACATCCTTTTCGCTAATCAATATCAGTTATAAATATAGTTTTAATTGTTAATTAGTAACTAATTAGTGGTATCAATTTTTGACTTAGGTATGTGTATCGTAACGAAGGTTGGAGAGCGTTGTTTAAAGGATTAGGACCAAATTTGGTTGGTGTAGTACCAGCAAGGTAACAACTTAACGAACTGCATATCGATATTGACTTAAAATATGTTATCACATACTAAATTTTAATTATCACAAATTAAATTATAGAGCTATA